TATTTCCTTTTATGCTTTCATAACCAAATCACAATCGAACAGCAGTGTTTCTGTCATTGTCCTCCACTCATGGTTCCCTTTTTGGTAAAACATGTGGTCATACATTCTGTTGAGCTGATATAAGGAACTTGGATTGATTAATAGATTTAGCTTCCATGGTGCTCAGATGTCTTTCCACATTTGTTTGATATTTTTCCCACATTTTTATGATCTCATTAATCTTATTACTGGTGTATTTGAGACTCGATGGTCATGACAGAATGAAAATGTTTCATGTCATTTTCCATTTAGTTTAACGACATGTTGCTGTGCACCAAACCCATTCAGTCAGGCCAGTACATGTTCAAAAACACGCTGCCCCTCAGAGGAATGAAGGTGAGAACTCGTTCTTATTCTGTTTGTCAAATTTCACATTTTCTCACATCGCGAGATCATTTTTATCCTGGCATCACGGCTCACAGTGAAAATAATTACAGGTTAGCAAACCGAGTCAAGAGGCCTATCAGAACGAGTTGAACATCGTGAGCGTGGAGCGCTCTTTCATTCTCTCCGCGAGGTAATGATCAGAAATGAAAGAGGCCTTTGTAATTTAAGATGGTGTTTTGTTGTTGTTATTACATTTTATTTCATTAGTGTATGTTCTTTTTTTTTTTTCTTCTTTTTTTTTGCTTGAATCTATTTTGTTTTTGTTTTTTTACATACGCTCTGTTTTCTCTTTCTGTAGCTCGGCCAAGGAACAGGACGAATGGCTTGAAGCGATTTCCACAGCGATAAGTGAACACACCAAGAAGACGAGCAGCTTTACCCCTGGCAAGCCTCAAGATGTGGTAAGATCACTTAAAAAAGTACATCTCCAGCTGTTGCAATATGTAAGCAACATTTAACATTGTATGAGCAGCCACTGAAACTCCTGTGTGCCTTCATTTTTTTTGTACCACTCATATTCAGCTGGATGGCACTGATGTTGGCGATGGTGCTCCTTTGGGATCCAAAGCCCCCATATGGATCCCTGACAAGCGGGCCTCCATGTGTATGGTCTGCACCTCCAAGTTCACTCAAACATGGAGGAGACATCATTGCCGTGCGTGCGGAAAGGTGGGGCATCAGTTGTACAACATGCTTACTGTCCAGAATGAGGGAGAGATGGAAAGGCAAAAAAAAAGTAAAACTTGTGCTTTATTCTTCCACAGGTTGTGTGCCAATCTTGCTCCTCCAATGAATTCCCTCTCGAATATAAAAAGAACAAGTTTACTCGAGTGTGTGACCAGTGTTTCCAAGTTCTTTTGGAGCAGAAAGGCGAACAGACCCATCAACTTGGAAAAAGAACTGCGTTTACTTTCCACAAAAAGCAGAAGTTGATACCCGCAACCCTCAAAGAGGTAGTTCATATGTCGCCCTCATCTGTATACACTTTCCATTACAACCTCATTACTGAAGTAGTTTATTTATTATTCACAATCGAACAATAGAAAAAAAAAATTGGCAGATGTTTAAAATTTTGAACTGCTGGACTTTCAAGAGAGGAATGTTGTCCCATTTTTGTCTGATATAGGATTCTAACTGCTGAACAGTCCTGGGTCTTCTTTAACGTATTTATTGTTTTATGGTGCTTGAAATGTTTTCAGTAGGTTAAAGATCCGGACTGTTGATGTATGCAGTTTAGCATTTTCTTGCTGAAGTATACAAGGTCTTCACTGAAAAAGATGTCATCTGCATGGGACCATATATTGCTTTTAATAGCTCTCAGCACTAATAATGGCTTTTCAGATATGCATGTTGCAAATTCCATAAGCTCTTGTGCGACCCCCGTACCATCAGAGATCCAGGCTTTTGTACTGAATGCTGATAAGGCAGGGGTGTCCAACTCCAGACCTCAAGGGCTGGTGTCCTGCAGGTTTTAGATGTGTTCATGATCCAACTCGGCTGATTTAAAATTACCTCCTCAACAAGTTCATAAAACCTGCAGGACACCGGCACTCGAGGCCTGGAGTTGCCTACCCCTGGACTAAGGGAAAGCGGAAAACTGTTCCGTGGACACCACCAGAGGACCAGAAGACCCCTTATTGCAGGGGTGCCCAACTCAAGGCCTCAAGGGCTGGTGTCCTGCAGGTTTTAGATCTCACCCTGGGTCAGCACACCTGAATCAAATGATTAGTTCATTACCAGACCTCCGGAGAACTTCAAGACATGCTGAGGAGGTCATTTAGCCATTTGAATCAGCTGTGTTGGATCAAAGACGCACCTAAAACCTGCAGGACACCGGCACTCGAGGCCTGGAGTTGGACACCCCTACCATAGTCCATTTTAAGTGAGTTTTGGTCCAGAGAAGATAGCAGTGATTCTAGATCATGTTCACATATGGCTTCTTCTTTGCATGATATATTTCTCCAGAATCTCTGAATCTTTTGAAGACTTTATGTATCCAGGTTAATTAGTTGTAGAAAGTCCTTTCCAGCCTTTATTTCCCCCTGTTCCAACTTTTTGAGAAGTTTTGCTGCCATCAAATTTAAAATGAGTTAATATTTTTAATTAAACAGTAAAATTTCTAAACATTTAATGTTTTCAATTCTTGTTATAAAAATTTGGATTTAGAAGATTTGCATTCTGTTTATATTTACATTTTACAGTGTCCCAACTTGGGTTCATATAATGTTCAGAAAACTCATCAGATTGCTTTTACTTTGTAAAGGTGACGGCCAACACAGACGACTCCTCTATGAGTGGGTACCTGCAGGCATCCAAGGTGGCTAAAAAGCATGGGAAGAGGTTATGGTTCGTCATTAAAGACAAGGTCCTGTACAAATACGCAGCAAGTGAGGTAAAGTCTTCTACTTGTATTAATAAAAGCTCAATGTGGCAGTTGGAACAAAGAGAATTAATGCAACGTTTGTTTTTCATTTCTTCATGCAGGACGTGGCAGCTTTGGAGAGTCTGCCCCTGCTGGGATTTGTTGTAAAAGCTGATTCCTCACAGACGTCGCAGTTCAAACTCTACCACAAAAACAAAGTTTACTACATTTTTAAAGCTGACAGCCCAGAAACTACCCAAAAGTACTGTAGAGAGATATGCTATTTATTATTGCATATAGTGACAATATTAATAATATTAACATATTGAAATAATATTAATATTTCTTTTTTCTTTTTTTTAACAGATGGATCACGTCTTTTAAAGAGGCTGCTGTGCTTTAATATCTGTTGTGTGAAGCTGCTGGCTGTGCTTGCCTCGGCTGAAAATGTATTACCTCAGTGCTCCCAGAAATCTGTAAACAGCATCTGGAGTCCCCAGTTTTGTGCGTTTTGTTTTTATTGATTTTATTGTAATTACTGTAACTACTTTTTACATTGTTTTTAGAGCTCTCTTGTGGAGATGGGATTTACCCATTTTTATTTTTGCACAGTCACATGAATCTTTTCCACATGCATTTAAAAAGTTTAGGCTTCAATGTCAGAAATCCATTTTTAGACTTTAATTTTGGGTTATGGTTTTAATGCAATTGTCTAATGTCGTGCTTGGATTGCCATAGCACAAATTTGGTGAAAAAGAGAATTATCCATTAGTTACTATGGACACGGCTGCTGTCATAACATGTGAACACACGTCTATCCAGCAGATTCCTAAATAAATTATGTGGGTATTTCCTGTGGTTTGGGAATGCTTTTTTTCACACTTCATAAGTTACCATAGAGCACGTTCAGAGCAATGTTAAAGCAATGTTCACTTCCTGCTTGGGTAAGAAATGTTTACTTTATATTCTTAGACTGGAGTCTGCAATCTAAAGTCTCAGTGATGTATTGGTGGAGAATTCACTGTTCAAACTGTCCCATAATGGGTTCTGCACTTAAGTCAATCAAATGGCTTCATATGATTATACCCTAAATATATATCTATGTAAATAGAAGTGATTGTAATTAGACTGACAAGAAATAAATTTTTACTGCTCAAATTCTGTCATTGTAATAATTTTTTATTTTCATGTGTTTATTGTTGTTGTATGTATGTTTGCTGAAGTTATTCTTTTCCAACGTTAACGCTATACTTTAAAGTAAAAGTGATTTGGGTGTAAATGCCACAAATTGACTGTACAGTTTTGTGAATTATATTATATAAGTCCTCATGATGGATCTTAAAGGTTTATACAATCTTTTGCAGATATCTTGAGTCACCCCTCATTTCATTACCAGAATTGTTCTTGAGCCATAGCTCTTCAGGCTTTCAGAAGGTCTTTAAAAGTGTCTTCTTTGGACATGTCTGCTTTTTCATTCATTTT